CGTCTTTATAATAACAAACAGCTGTTTCGTGTGCAGGATCGCTCATTTCCCGTTTCACATTTCACGTGTGTTTTCTTGACAAAACGTGGTTTGGAGACCAGCGTCGGGTGACAGAGCTGCTGTCAGCTCCTGTACTGTGTGTGTCTCTGTCCCCGATCAGTCACGTAGTGTGAACGCCACAACGACTTCAAGACTGCCGTCATATGACGGCAAGTTGTGTGAACTGCACGGCCGACGCTGAAAGTTGTGTAGTCTGCACGAGCCTTTACTATAACTTGTAGCACTCGGGTGATGTTTGTGTTTGTAAAGCAGCTGTCAGGTTGTTGGTCTGATGCTGTATGACACACTATGAATTTCCGAAACGACTAATAAATATCTATCACCTCTAAACGTGCACAGCTGTACTTCTTAAATGACACATCGATGAATCGTTGAAATAAACTATAGAAGCTTCGAATACTAAAATCATCGTTAGCTGCAGCCCTACTACGATGCGATTATAAAACAATTATCGATGCATCTTGATACATCATTTTTTTTTCTATACTGGATCTCTAGATAATTACTAAGCATTTCACTGGCGCATTAAAATCCAAAAGAATCATCACCTAATTCGCTTAAATTAATAGTTTGCATCCCTAATTTACTACATTAACCTCAGCTCCATGGTAACCACCTTCATTTCTTTAACACTCCTCTGAAAACTGAAATATGATTATCAGGATGTACAGTCTGTATACAGGACAGAGCTCTACACCAGTTTAGTCTGAGCTTGTATCTGATGTTCTCAACCCTTGACAAGTAGGTAAGTTAGTAATGACATACAGCTGAGCTACTTAATATTACTTTGTTACTAATTTAGCTGACGTTACACAACAGCTGTAAAATGTGCTGTACAGTTGAGGAAACTACAGACTTTTTCATTAACGAACACACTGACCTACACTGCATGTTTACTGCTTTAATTTTTTTGGGGTGTCACGGTGCCAGAATACTTATTTGCGTGACATTTAAGTAGGGTGGTTATTCATTCCGTAGCAGTGGTGTGCTGAATACATGGGGAAACTGGTCTCTCTCGTCTCTCTCTTATCAGAATCAGTTTTTTTTTATTGCCAGGTATGTGTACACATACGAGGAATTTGACTCAAGATTGTACATTGCTCGCGATGTGCTTACTTATACAATAATAAAATAATAATATAATAATAAAATAAAATCAGACACAAACTACAGAATAGACAACACTAATATATACACTGTGAACAAAACGATATAGACATATTGACAAATAGTGCAGTGATCAGAGTGCAAAGGATGCAAGAGTAAACTATTCTCATTATGTACATGTTGAAGGTGGATATGATAAACAGGTACACATACATGCATACATGTACACATGTACACAGTGTAATGGAGCATAGTGCAAAGGATGCTGGAAAAAATAAATAAGACCTGTGACCTTATGACCTGAGGTAGGTGTGTTGGTAAACAGTATATACAATATGACATAGTATGAACAGCACTGAATAATAATAAGTGGAAACCAGTAAACAGGTGCTGATTAGAGGCTGAGTTACTGGGTTATTGCACAGGAATTGTTCCTGAGTCAGAAATCAGCTGTTCATCAGAGTGATGGCTTGTGGGAAGAAACTGTTCCTGAGTCTGTTGGATTTGGCGTACAGTGCTCTGTAGCGCCTACCAGGCGGGAGGAGCTGGAACAGGTTGTGTCCGGGGAGAGATGGCTCTGCAGTGATGTTTCCTGCCCGTTTCCTGAATGGAGGGCAGGTTGGCACCAATGATCTTTTCTGCAGTCCTGACTGTACGTAGTAGTCTGCTCCTGTCCTTTTTGGTGGCAGATCCAAACCAGACAGTGATGGAGGTGCAGAGGACAGACTGGATTATGGCTGTGTAGAACTGGATCAGCAGCAGATTCCTGAGCTGACACAGGAAGTACATCCTCTGCTGGGCCTTCTTGATGATCGTGCCAGTGTTGGGCTCCCACTTCAGGTCCTGGGATATAGTGGATCCCAGAAACCTGAAGGATTCCACAGCAGACACAGGGCTGTTGAGTATGGTGATTGGGGGCAGAGGGGGGGGGCTCCTCCTGAAGTCTATGGTCATCTGCACAGTTTTGAGCATGTTAAGCCCCAGGTTGTTCTGACCGCACCAGAGAGCCAGCTGATCAACCTCCCGTCTGTAGGCCGACTCGTCACCGTCCCGGATGAGGCCGTTGACCGTTGTGTCGTCAGTGAACTTCAGATGGGTCTCTTGAGGTGCAGTCGTTGGTGTAGAGGGAGAAGAGCAGTGGGGAGAGCACACACCTCTGGGGGGAACCAGTGCTGATAGTCCGTGTGCTGGATGTGATGTTTCCCAGCCTCACCTGCTGACTCCTGTCAGTCAGTCAAGTTTGTGATCCTCTGACAGGTGGAGGCTGGCACAGTGAGCTGGGTGAGTTTGGTGCTGAGGATGTCCGGGATGATGGTGTTGAACACCGAGCTGAAGTCCACAAACAGGATCCTGGCATATGTCCCTGGAGAGTCGAGGTGTTGCAGTCCCAAGTTGACTGCATCATCCACAGACCTGTTAGCCCTGTAGGCAAACTGCAGGGGGTCCAGCAGGGACCTTTCTTCTTCAGGGATCTTTCGAAGGACTTCATGACTACAGATGTCAGGGCGACAGGCCTGTAGTCATTTAGTCCAGAGATGGAGGGTTTTTTTGGGACCAGGATGACTGTGGAGCGTTAGAAGCAGGAGGGAACTTCACACAGCTCCAGTGATTTGTTGAAGATCTGAGTGAAGATGGGGGCCAGCTGGTCTGCGCAGATTATCAGGCATGATGGTGAGACACCGTCAGGTCCAGGAGCCTTCCTGATCTTCTGCCTTTTTGGTATAGGTGGCTCACGTCCTCTTCACAGATCTTGAGTGCAGGTGAGAGGTCAGAGGGGGAAGGTGCCTGTTTGAAGGTGACTGTATGTTCACGCCACAGACGTTTGCCCTTCAGCGAGGTACGCCTCTTGCGTTCTGTCAACATTACATTATCAATTAACATAAATAATACATTTTTTGGCATTTGTTAATCGATTCAGAATCTTCCAAGTCCGCATCGCGATGCATCTAAGAATCAATTTTTCTCTCCCACCCCTACTGCTGACAGTCTTTGTGCTAAGCTAGGCTAACCGGGTCCTGTATCTCTCTCTGTACCGGACACACAAGATGAAACTAATCCAGGTGTATTTTGTAAACAAGTGGTTCACATGCAAAGCATGTCCGGGTCATTGACTGAAAGGGGTTGGAGGTCTGTTCAGTGAAGTGTTTTATGTCTTGATGAGAAAGGAGATGCCTGAAATACTATTACGGCTGCAGTGTTGGTTACCAGCAGTGTAGTCTGTGCAGACTGGAGGAAGTGATTCCAGAACACAGATGATTAGAGGGAGAAGCTGACTGATGCACGATGGTCTGACAGATATTCAGACGTGGCTTTTGCTTTGTACCGCCTTGTTGGAGTTTAAAGTATCTTAAGTGTTTGAATCTCAACACTGAAACAACATGAGAGAGCTTCTCCACGATTGTTGCCTCCAGAGGAAATGAACTCTCGGTCTGCTCTTGCTCCGTTAACAAAACAAATGTGTTTTTAAGAGTTCAGCTTCACTGGAACAATGTGGTGTAATTGGCCTGACATTTTTCGGCCTTATTTGGCAGGAAGTGAAATCACCAGTCCTGGCCTTCAGCGGCTGAGTGTGACAACTGCTGCTGCACTGCCATACACGTTAAAAAGAAAGTGCTTGTTAGTTTACTTTATACAACACATTGACGTGCACTCAGTCTCCGGTTTATTAGGGACACCTAGCAGAAACGAATGCAGTCTAATCCAACAGTCCTGCAGTAAATCCTCCTTCATGAAGGTTTGAGTGTTTTAAAAAGTAGTTTGATCATTTAGGAGGCTGTAGTTTGTAGGGATTACAGCTGCAACGATTAGTCTGTTTATCAACTATTAAAATAATTGCCAACTATTTTGATTATTGATTAATCGTTCTTCATTTTTCAGTCATTTTTCTAAAAACATGTCCAGCTTCTGTAATCTTAATATTTCTGGTTTCTTTGCTCCTCTAGGACAGTAAACTGAACATATTTGGGTTGTGGACAAAACAAGACATTTGAGGACGTCACCAGATTGACATTTTTCACTGATTTCTGACATTTTAGCGACCAAACAGCTAATTGATTAGTTTTGAAACTGATTGACAGATTAATCGACAAAGAAAATAATCGTTAGTTGCAGCCCTAGTAAGGATGTCACAATACCAGAATTCTCGGTACTCAATTCGATACCAAAGTAAAAATCAAAAACAAAACAATTTATCCAGTGAACTTCAACACACAGGTGTGAAATGTTTAGGAGTGGTCACTATTTATATTGGCAGTGGTTTCAGTTGTCCATTTTGAAAAACTAAACAGAACATTGATGATTGAAATGGAACGTTTTTTCAGATGGTCCCTAACTCCTCCTACAGTAACAGGAGCGTTGGACAGACATTCAGTTTTTAGCTCTGCAGACTGCATCATCATCTTTGGTGATTTTGAGATGATCCCAACTGTGAAGCGTCTGCTGAATTAGCTCTCCAACGTCCCACAACTGTGAGAAATGGAGGCTTTGACACAGAGCTGTTGAAGGTAACAGCCTTAAATATCAGACTAACATGGCGGCAGAGCTGCACCTGACTCCATCTGCCACCTGTTGGATCTCAGGTACCTACAGTGCTGTAGAAATACTAGTACTGTCATGTTTTCAGAATTTTACCGTAGTATTGGTTCTTATAAAGTCCCTACTAGTTTGTACTGCTGTTGAGTTGTATTTTTGGTAGTTTTGACCAGTTTTAGTCACAGCAAAGGTCAGGTCAGCACGCCTTGCTGGTTTCTTGAGTTCTTTCTTTACTGCCCAAGCAGACGAGTCTCTTTCTGTAACATCATTTAATGAATACTTTTGTTCTTTTCTCTCTGCAGACCTGTCGAAGAACCGGCTGACCGACGTCCCCTCAGAGGTCTGCCACCTGGTCGCCTTGGAGACACTAAACCTGTATCACAACTGCATCAGGACCATCCCGGACAGCATCATCAGCCTGCAGTCACTCACCTCCTTAAACCTCAGGTACACACACACACACACACACCTGGTGTCACCGCAGTCATACAGCGTTAGAGCATCCTTTCTCTACTGCATCAGGGAGATCATGTGGATTTTAAGAGAGGGTGTTGCATTCTGGGTATGATGCGGCAGTGTTGTTGTGAGTTTAGAAAGCTTTGTTTACTTGTACACGTGATCTGTTGACCTTCACTTGTCACCAAACAGGAAACCAGTCTCCCTACTTTATTGCAGAAATCAGCCAGACGTCTGTTGAACACTTACTTAATGCTGTTAGCTTTCTGTTACTGATGCTGCGTCATGACTGTTCACCTGCATGTTTTCATTTCTAAATAGCTGCTGAAACACTCACTGTGCTGACTAAAATATACGACATACTGTTAATAATGTTCACTGCAAAATCAGCTTCAGTAAAAGAATAATTCTGGTTTGTTACAGCTGGGCTCTTGATGGATGAATAAAGGTTGAAATAAACCAGAATTATCCTCTAATTTGATCGACTAAATGTTGTCCATGTTGTTTTAGCTGTGGTGTGTGTGTGTGTGTGTGTGTGTGCGCTGCTGTCAGATTTGTGCCTCCAGTGCAACATTAGACTGAATCAGAGTGACGAAGCAAAAACAAAACAGTGTCATTGTCCTTTACTGTGAGCAGACAGTGTATTGTGTGTCGGCTTACGGCCGCAGCGCTTTCTCTGTTCTGACCGTCTGAGCTGCTCTACAACTCTTTGTGTGTGTGTGTGTGTGTGTGTTGTACCATCAGTGCTGCAAAGCAACACACAGCTGGCTTTCATTGGACTGTTAATAAACTCAAAAAACACACACACACCTACACACAGTCCTGTACTCTGTCAGATGGTGTTTAAAAGTCAAGGTGTTCCCTTGTGAGACTCTACAGGTGACATGTGACTGTTTTTAAATGAGACTGATCAGAAAACTAAGTGTATATTTTTAAATGAGCTGTTATTCTGATCAGATGTATTTGTGGTGACGCTGCATCAAAGGTTGAATTTATGAATCGATTAGTTGATCAACAAAATGAACCCGCAACTGTTGTGATAATCGAATAGGCAGCTGGTTTCAGCTTCCTGTGTTTTAAATCACAGTAAACTGAATGTCTTTGAGTTTTGTTAGTTGGACCAAGCAAAGCAGTGAAGATGTCACCTTACTCATTAGGGCAGCGGTTCTCAAATTGGGGGGTTGGACCACTTTGAGGTGGCATAGAGCCATTGCAGGGGTGGCGTGAATGATCACGGGAAAAATATGGAGGGGAGCTAAGTTGAATGAAAGTGATTTATGTAGGGAAATAAATAAAAAATGCGAATGTGCTGATTCGTTTAATTATTTTATTTCAAAATGGCTCCTTTTTTATTTGTTCCTCCCCCAATATTATTAATGATAGATAATAATCTGTTTATGTGGGGTCAAAAAATCTTAATCAGCAATACTAACAATAAAAGCTTCATTTGTGTAGCTCCTTTAATGCAGCCAAAGTGCTTTACAAAACAATAATAATAATAAATGTTAATCATGATAACACCCATAAAACAGGAAAGAAATGATGGAAATAGCAAACATAGACAAGGAGCACAGTACACAATAAAATCCGGATTAATTCTCTTCTTTCAACCATCATATTTTTATCTTTAGTGAATCAGACCGTTTTCCTCTCAGCTCCACACCTGCAGTCAGCAGAGAATGAATCCATTATTATAGATCGACACGCTGATAAGAAGCAGTATGTTATGGAGTAAGCACACTGGCGCGCACACACACACACACACACACACACACACACACACACACACACACACACACACACACACACACACACACACACACACACACACACACACACAGTGTTTTCCAGTCCTGGTGCGATCACTGAGTAAATTAGTGATTTAATGAATGATCAATTTAATTAGGCTTTTAAATGCTTATCTGGTAGGAGGGTTATCAGAATGCATGAAACACCAGAGGGGTGTGTGTGTTTCAGACAGGAAGTGTGCTCCTCCTTCTTCTCCAGTAAAAATGCAGCATTTATTTTTATTATTTTTAGAGTCAAACAGTGTCACATCACATCTGAAACTGACACGTTTTGATCACTTTGATTCACTGCACTTGTGTTAAGATTGAACACTATATATATATATATATATATATATATATAATATTCATCAGTGTAGGCTGTCGTTGCGGTTGTGAATTCAAGATTCATTCATTTAGGGCTGCACATTTAATCAAAATGTTATTGAAATTGCAACATGACCAAGTGCATTATCCAAATCACAGAAGTGGCAATTAAAATAACCCTTGTACTGTAGAGCTGCAGAGATGCCCCGGCCTGCAAATCTTGTTCTCCAAATGTAAAAAATCCTGTTTGTTTGGTACAAATGTCACGTCATCATGATTTAAATAGTTTTTTTCAGTAAAAATTAAAAATTTGATGCAAAAATCACCATTTCCACTAATTGTGAATAATTTTTGGCCGTTGACTGTATTTTGTTTTTTTTTGAGTTGATTCAGTTTCATCACTACGTTAGATTATGCTTTGGTTTGGAGGCATTTCCGTCCAAACTACAAATGTCAACCTAGAGGAAAAAGTCAGGGGAACACCAAAGGCAGCAGCATTCATCCTGTGCTAACCATGAATATCAGAATCTATTTTCATAGCAGTCCCTCCAGTAGTTGTTACGGTAGGTTGTCGTCTTTAATCGCACACTGCTCATAAATCATTCTTCTGGTGAGCACGTGCCTGTTTTTAGGGACATATGCGAGTTAAATGGTCGCTCTGTAGAGCCCTCTTAGGGCGTGGATAATGAGCAGACTGCAGCGCACACAGAACACACAGAACACACTTTGTTTAAATAAATCGCACAATTGTGCGGTTATAATCACACAAGATGACATCACGATAGCAATTGCGATTAGCTTAATCGTGCAGCCCTAAGGGTAGTGTTGTCTCAAAACGACACGGATGTGGTGCACTTAGTGGAAATGACCTCCTTCTCGCTTTTTCCTCTTTTTTTTCCTTCTTCTTCTACTTCTTTGAGCACACCATCTGTGTACTGATAGTGCACTGCATTTAGCCTTGCTTGTCAGTGTGAACTCACTTATGCACTCCAAAAAGTGTGAGTATGGAAGGATGCTAATTGAGACACAGCATTGGTCTCGTTTTCTCCTAACACACAAAAACAACAGTGATGCTGTTTTACCAACCTTTATCTCAGATTTGTGTTTTGTGCAGTTTCATCAAACATGATGTGGCTTCTTTATGTGAACTGCTGCAGAAACTCACTATGTTTCCTGAATGTTATTTTCAGATCTGAATCAGAGGGGGTTTCATAGTCTTGTGGTGAATACTGGTGTGTGTGTGTGTGTGTGTGTGTGTGCTTGTGTTTCTATTTTAGTGGTCACAGATTAAAGACACTATTTGGTTTGCTTTTATTTCTACAGAACGCCCAAATTTCTTTAGAGACATAAGTTAGGAAAAAGGGGACATTAAAGTTTCAGCACAGAGGAGCTGCTCTGGACATGACTCATGAATTTATTATCAAGCGTTTAGTGAAACTTAAGAGAAGGGAATGTAAATGTAATCAGGTGGTAATACTGAGCTGCACTGACTCTGGTGTTCAGGACAAAAACCTTTGGCCTGTTTAAGAGGCCTCCAACAGGAGAAGTGACAAAGCTCTTTGTTATTATTGTACTTTGTGGGTTTCTTAGAAGTTTCAGGCATGTTATACCCATAATACAAAGTCATAAATTGCGATTTTAGGTTCAGACTTTACTCGAAGCAGAAGTATGTGGTCTGTAGAGGAAGCATCAGGGATGATGAGTCAGCAGAAGAAAGGTTCATTTAGGTTGCAGATAATTGACAAACAGTCACTCATCCTGTGTATGTGCAGCATCAGTACTGACAGGAATACATATTTATGTCATTACACAGACCTTTGAAACGTACATATGCCCCCTTCTTCACTGAATGCTAACAGCTCCATTCCGCTTCACTCTACTCGTATTCTTTGGGTTTCCATTGTGCAAACCTGGTACCCGCTACCTGGTACTTTTTCTGGTATCACCTCTGTCGAGGTTGAAAGCGAACTGAGGCGAGATGAGGCGATAGCAAAAGGTCATGTGAAAACACAGCAGACTGCTGATTGGTATGAGAGAATCAACAACAAATCTGTTTCAGAAATAACGTAGCCCTGCTGTGTGTTTACAGCTGAGCTGCTGCTGCTAACATTAGCTCAGTTTAGCTGCTCACATTGTTTTTAGTTCCCTTTGGTGTTGAGCGTTCAGGAGGTTTCTAGCGGGGGCCGAATTAGCACCGAGGTCGTCTACTCTCCAAAAAAACCAGACCCAGTCATTAAAACTTTAAAACACTGAACAAAGCAGTTTTATCCTAAGAAATGAGTGCATCTTTGGTGGACACTAAGATTGTGGCTGATCCAGGCATCAGCCGTAAAGCCTGATTCATTCCTGATCCTGGTTTTCTCAAGTTAGTGTGTACTGTGTAGCTGTACTGCATAATACAAAACAAGAAATGAAAACAGTATCTCTACCTAAACGTGCACCAAATATTATGATACGTGTGTGTGTGTGTGTGTGTGTGTATATATTATAAACATGTTTGTGTGTATGTATTATAGTTGCATCACCATTGTGTTTTAGCTGCGTTCTGACATGAGCTTCCTCGTTCCTTTTTCTGTCACGTCTCTCCATTTAATTTTAATGTTGCGTTGGAAGTAGTTTAATTGGTGGTAAAATATTCAAATGGCTCATTCTGGCTCTGCTCTCTCAATCATTTTCCTCCTTATGTCTTTAAAACCAATGTCTCTGAAATGTGTTTTCTGGGTAAACTCTTTATTATTTGTTTATTCTTTAAAAGGACATTTATCAACACTGACTGTTTCCTGAGAGCTAGTTTCGCAGCTGGTCTCCCAGATAAATCGCAGATAACAAGTGAATAGAAGTGGTTTTTAAATAGTTTGTTGCCACCGTGATGATCTTTTTTTCTTTCTTGTATAAACGAGTGCTGTTTGTGTTGCAGTCGGAACCAGCTTGGCGCTCTGCCGGCGTGTCTGTGTGGTTTACCTCTGAGAGTCCTCAACGCCAGCAACAACAAGCTGGTGAGCCTGCCGGAGACCGTGGGACAGCTACACAGCCTCATGGAGCTGGTAAGATTGCGTGTACTGTTTCTGTACTACTGTATTACTATGTACTGCATGTGTGTACATAGTAATACAGTAGTACAGAAACAGTACAAACACATGTGTGTTGCAGGTGGAAGATATATTTACATGTTGTACTTAGGTGAAAGTAGCAATATTACACTGTAATACTCTGTATAACCCATATGTAAAATTAGGGTTTTGGTTATGTTTCGTTCTTTCACTATTTCGTTTCAAAACCAAATCGGAAAAACCAAAAAACTGAACGGTGAGCCTCCTGTTTTTCTAACTTAAAACCCTATGTTGATGTTCAGGCTCACCTTAATTACATTTAATCAGTTACCGCCCTTGCCCAAGTGTATCTGCTGCAAGTTTATCAAGTGTAACACACAAAGCTACACTCATCAGACACATTAAAAATCAAAATCAACATTTTTCCGTTTTGGTTTTAAAACAGAAAAAAACACAAAAACTACTTGTTGTTTCGTTTTTCCCGGTTCGGTTTTGAAACGAAATGATCAAAGAACAAACCACACATGGATTGTTTTAAAATACTGAAATGACCCTTTGAAAAGTAAAAGTCTTTGTAATACTACTGTATCATGTATTATCCACTTATTATTATTACTACAACATTACTATTCATGTAGGTGCTCAAGCTGGTTGCTAAGTACGTTTCTATTTGATCACTAACCCTTAACAATATATCATTTTAGAAACTCATTATCTGTTTCTGTGTTAAAATTTGATCTGAGAAGTAACAGTAGTGGAGTAGAAGTATAAAGTACCTTAAAGTGGAAGTACGGTACTTGAGTAACTATACTTGGTACTTTCATTTTTATGTTTTGTTAGCTGCTCTCCAGAGGACTGTGTTGCAGTAATCAGGCTCCTCTGCCTCCAAGATATTCACAAAAACAAACGAGCAAATATTTGCACTGAAGAGACTCTTTTACACTCTGGTTTTCACCTAGAGTTGTGAATTGTGGTATTTTCCATCCATTTTTTTTTTTTAGATCTTTTATAGGATTTAAATATTTGTCTGACGTGCACTGAGAATAATGAACCCTAAATTCAGCTTATGTGGTTAATTACATTTGCCAAACAGGTTTCTCATCATATAATGACGCTCAGCACCGGATGTTGGACGAGATGTGTTATTTACTGTGAGACAACATGCATGCAGAGAAACTGCGATACTGTTCAGACCAAAGTATGTCTCCCATTTAGCTCTGGTGTTATTTGGGTGATTTGTGGAAGTGTTGGATGTCTTTTACATGAAAGTGATAAAATACCCTGATTTGTCACTGAATTGGCCAAAAGCACCTCCCCTGGGTTTTACTTACAGATTGTTTTTCAATTGAATTTAATGGAAATGTACTATATGATGGTATGCATTGATATCTTAATATCAGGGCTGGGCAATTTGGCCAAAAATGTTATCACGATAAATAACTTAATGTCAATAATTATCAGGATCATTATTTCTTTCAAGTTTAAAGGCTGCATTTTGCTCCTGAGTGAGAGTTAATTCTGTTTTTTAAACTTTTCTTTGTGGTCAGAACAAACACTTGATGCCAAACAGTGGACCACTTCACAAATCTGAGATAGATCCTTCAAAAAACACACACAAACTTTTCAGCACTTCCTGCTTCCATAATCTGGGCGGACTACTGAGTTGACTCTGCCGCTGAACGAATAGAAGACCTGCCTACAGAGAGTATGAAAGGGCGGTGAACACGGGTGGTGCGGCGTATGAATGGGCGGCGTTTGTGGGTGGTGCAACCTAAAAGGTGCAGGTTGTCATAACACATAAAATTAACTAAAATCCTTTTTCAGTCCCTTTTACTCAACAAAATAAATATCTTAGAAAAATTAAATGCTAATTTGTTTGTGATTCAGATGCATTTAATCAAACTTTTATTATATTATAACATTTGTCATATTGTTATTAAGGAAAATTAAATTGCAATAATTATCATTATTGTTTAATTGCCCAGCCCTACCTAATAAAAAAATACACAACAGAAGATTTGATCCGTATCAAGCTCACCACCAGATCCAATTCATTTAATCAGTAAATGTTTAAAAGCTACCAGCATGTTGTTCTGCAGTCACTCAGCAGTGTGTTGTCCGTCTTCACTGGAGTCGTATTTGAAATAAATCTCTGGCGTTGGGATAATGTGTAAAGAAATGCATCCAGATGATTAAACAGCTGTGTTGTTGTTTCGCCCTCTGCAGGACATCAGCTGCAACGAGATCACGGCTCTTCCTCGACATATCGGCAGACTCAAATCTTTGCGAGAACTAAACGTGCGCCGAAACCTTCTCTGCGTCCTGCCTGAAGGTGAGTCTGTGATGGAAGTGCATCGTTGTCTGGGTTGAATTTAGCCGAAATTATCCTTTCTGTACTCTTAATGTCTTAGTAGCATGTTGTCTGCTGGGTGGACAACACAGACTGTTCTTACTGTGACCCAAAGATTGGTGAGCTTTGGTTGGTTATGTTCAGAGTGTAATTTAGAAGATGCTACCATGTACTTTCTCTTCAGGTGGCTTTTAGATCAAACAGGCCCTCGTGATTTCTGTTTTAGGTTGATCCCACCTTACCTTTGGATCTCACAGGAGCGCTCCAAGAAGGAACTTCAGACACTGCTATTGCTTTTTTTGATTGTTATTGAAAAGGTCAAGTGTGGCTAACATCTGATTTGAAGACAGAAATAGAACAATCGCGTCTATATACAAGACGGGGAGCTGCCTTTAAGACCACAGAGTCCTCTGTATGCACTGCCACACCCGTCCCAGTCCCCAAAAATATACATCAGCCTCTCAGTGACTGAAGAACAGCCTGCAGTCCCCAAAAATATACTTTACAAGAACAAGCAGTGACGCAGAGATCAGCCACAAAGCTGTCATGTGGAGAGACACCACCCAGCTTTGACCGACTGGCTGCTGATTGGCTGAGGCTGGAGAGAGTCAGGCTTGTGATTGGACCAGCAGTAAAAAGTGTGTTTTCTCTGGTTTCACTATGTGATACTGTTTATATGCTATAATATATTACTGCTTAATTGATTAGGGCTGCAATGGCTTGAATTTGTAAATTTACAAAAAAAAACGACAATTAATTGATGATTAAAAAAGTTGCAGATTAATTTTCTGTTGATCAACAGATTGTTGCAGCTCTAAATCAGAGTATGAGGTCGCACTCTTTTCTCCTGCAGTGGGTTATATTTCAAATTAAATACTCTGAAACAAGCGTTGTGTGAATACAAACCATTACTCCCAGTAAGGAAGCAGTTTAAGCGGAGAATATTTCTATTTCTAGTAGGTTATTTCTTATTTCACCACTTTATTTCTACTTCATTCTCCACCTTATTTTAGTGTTTTAGTGTTCACTCACTACCTGAATCTGCTCACCTCAGCTCTGGTCTGTTGCTGCAAACACATCTGCCGAACCCAACTGTTCCTGTCTCTCTCTCCCTGTTTATGACTTTCTCCATCAGCAGTAGGTTTTATAAAGTTGCTGAAAAGACACCGAAGTCGTCTTTTGGATTTTTGTGTTTTCACAGCAGCAGGTGCACCGCGTGTGGATGAGGGTACAGTGGGTTGTTTTCATCTATTAAATCCTTGTGCAAGAAGCACAGTCTACATCTTTTACATAGGCCTACTGCCTTTACCAGAGGAGAGAGTAGCCAATACTTTAAATAGGCTAGCAGGTTTTGATTGATTTTACAAAGGTTAAAAATACGGGAGATTTACGGGGAAACATTTAAATGGGAAAAATACGGGAGAATCCCAGGGGGAAAACTGGAGGGTTGACATGAGAAGAGTAGAGAGGAGTGGGGTAATGTGAGGCTACGTTCACACAACTCCAGTTTTTAAACATTTTTATAACGAATACGATCTTCTCCGTCCACTGCAGCGTTTTAGCTGTGTATCACACTTGATCTCTGTCTATATTGAAACGACTGAAAACACACATCAAGTGGCCGTTCACGTACACTGGGCATGCGCGTGCCGGTGTAAACATGAAGCAGATGGTCTGCTCCGCAGAATTGGCGAAAGAAGAAAGTGATGCAGATGAAGAACAACACAGTTATTTTTTCTTGCATGACCGACAACAAGGTGGAACTGTTATTGAAAGCAACACGGGAGCACAAAGAGACCGTGGCAGCGGAAAACAGACTGGGAGTAAATACACAGTAAATACGGCGACATGCACAGCACAAGTGTTATTTACACAGTACAAAATATTTTAATGAAAATACCGAAACTAAAACTCATTAGCATTGTGTTTTTGCTTTGCATGACTGATATCATGACAGACTGGTGTCTGTGTTATTGTTTTATAAAGTCTCGTTTTTGCCCACCGAGTCAGCAGCGTTTTCAAACATCTTCGGATTCACTGTTTTAATGTGGACGGAGGCGGAAACGTAGCAAAAAGGTCGCCGTTTTAAAACAAAAACGGCGAGAGAGAGGCAGTCGGCTGATTGAGTGGCGCCTCTCTTTGCATCAGGAAACTCGCACTGAAGGATCAGTCTCTCTCTCTGACTGCTGTGCTGTGTGTGGGTCAAGACGATTAAACTCCGGTTGTGGGCGGCGTGTGTGGGAGATGAGTAAGACAGCGACAGTTTCACATGATCGCTCTTGCTTGTTGCTCTGCTTGTCTGATTGCTGCTCAGCTCTCATTGTAAATGATTAACTGGGCGCATCAATCGCTTCCTGTCTGAAAAAGACTTTGGTGCTAGCTAGCTTTGAAAACTGCTCAGACCGCATAGTGAAACCATTTTAGCTGCAAATTAGAAAATTTGTCTGGCGAGTGTTGCGTCATCTGATCAGCTTTTCTGATCGGCCTTTTTAGAGACCACCGATCAAACCAGTTAAGACCATTATCAGCCGATTATGATCGATCGGAGCACCCTTAAAGTTAGTCAATATGTGGAAAACAGATCTTCATTCTAGCCCTCATGTGCTTTGGAAACCAGAAGAATGAAATCACAGCTTCAAGTGGTCAAAATGAGTTTCTTCGCAGGCTGGCCACCCCTTAGTCAAAGCGTGAAGAGCTCAGACATCGGGAAGGAACCTTGAGTAGAAGTGCTGCTGGTCTTCTACTCCCACTTCTGAAGAATCCGCATCCTGCTGGAGGTCCAAGTGAACCACGTTTTCTAAACAATCCGATAACCAGTCTCAGGTGACACTCGCTGACTCTGATATTTCACCTCGTACTTCTTCGTTTGTAATGAAACTTGTAAGCAGCTTTCATTCTTTGTGAGCAGTGCACAGAGATGAAGATATATGTGATGCGTGTAAAAGCATCAGGCAGCGTTAAACCTGGGTGTTTGTCAGTCTTCCAACACGGTGGTGGGTCTTCACAGACTGGAGGACAAAGTGGAATCAGGCCTGTTGATATTCAGTCTGAATGATGGATGCCTGCAGACTGTTTTCTAAATGATTCATCCATTTTTGTCCCTGGACCTTGAATGGTCCAGCCTGTTGGGAGTTATTGCTGTATTGTCCAAACCTGACATTTGCTTGTCCCTCACTATTACGGACATGTCCTGGGTTGATTGATGAGCTTTGATCTGTCTTGGCAGCTTGATGCCACAGCGACAGGGAGGCTTGGACCGAGCAGACTGGACGGCAGCCTGACAAAGGGAGGGATGTTGTTTTTGATTTAATATCTGTTGAACTTGTGCAGACTTCTTTTCTGCTCTGCAGAGCCCTAGAAACAAGACCACCGTGACAGTTTTAGTACTTTTTAAAGGTTGGCCAAGCATGGGGTGGCCGGAGTCTAATGTTTCCTCTAAGGCAGAAACATCACCATGGCAGCAAAGATGCTTTGGTTGCACAAAACATATAACAATAACACGAAGGAATACAGAGCTGGTTACACTTCTTCGCCTTTTCTTACACAAACCAATCAAACCTGCAACCTCCCAGCGAGGCTGCAGGAATCTTCTAGTTGACAATATCATCATTCCTCAGTTAGTTAACAAGTCATTTGATGTTGTTACACTCAGCTGACGGGACAAATATTCATCACAATATCTTTGACTGATCCACCTCGCTTTATTGTGCAGGAAATGTTTGAAGGAGAAAACATGACAACTCTTCAAGTAATGCTGCTTAAAATTAGACTCTGCAACTGTCATATTGAAAGTTCACTGCACAACAAGGATGTTTCAGAAAAGCATGCTGTGGCGTGTTGGTAGATTCTTTTAGCATCAGTGGATGTAAAAGTGAGAAGCTTGCTTTGCTGCTGAGGTGTGGGAGGGGCATTCTTTAGGTTCTGAAGAGGGGTGTGACAGAAAAAGTTTGAGTAGCACTGCTCTAAACTAAGTTGTGTTAGCATTTAGCTCGCAGCCTCACAGAGCTACTGGTGTGACTGTAGAAAAGTAGTGTTATTTATATATTATAAAGTAGTTATATTTTTGATAAATTTGCAGGGCTCCGGAGTGCAACCAAAAATCTGTCTAGTGTGACAAACAAAGTTTTTTGTCAGCCACATATCTGTGTGTGGACACGTACCCACACTTTTACTTGTGTGTTGGTGTCTGTGCCGCTCTGCAGTTACACTGCCAAAACACTAGGTGGCGGTGGTATTCCTATGTTCGTTTAATCCTCCGCTAACTTGAATGGAGATTAATCGATAATCGTGCTGCTTTTCTAGACTTTTCAAACGTTATCATCCGAATGGATGGAATTCTCGTCAGTGAAACGAGTCATTTCGCAGAGATTGTTATCCGTAGGTGTTCCTGTTTACAATAATTTACATAACTGTCAATGGGTATGGGAAATGACAGAAAGTCAGAATAAACTGTTACGGCGATAAAGTTGTATATTTTGTGGCGGTGCAACCAAAAGTTAGTCTGGAGTCCTGATCTAGTAAGTATTGTAATGAGGCACTGCGTCTCTTTCTGCATTGCACTTTGGACTAAATTTAAACATTTGTCCTCGGTGACCTCGCAGCGGGAGTGATCATGTTTTTGTACATTACAATCCTGGATATGTTTTTATCTAGTAGGCGGAGAGAGGAATGTTTGCTTGTGTCTGCCCTTCCCTCCATTATGGCTGCTCAGCAGACATTATTACCGCCTACGAGGGGTTTTAATTATGAGAGGCTGTCAGGAAGAGTCTGTAACGTTGCTGTTGTCAGGATTAATGGGCTCTTCAGTGACGCATCATTGGCAGTCTGCAGGACATGACTCCCTGAATGGTTTCTTCCCACAAACCCACACACTGTGCTGTTTGTCTTAGTGCTTGTCTGAATGTTGAAGGATTCATGTAAACACACGCTCGCACGCACGCACACACACACACACACACACACAAAGACAGAAGAGTAGAGTTTATTTATAGAGTGACTAAAGCAACCAAGAATGAACACCACAATGTGTTTTACATGTATTTCATTGATTCATCGATGAAGTACTTTTTCTTGGCGGCGGCCGTTTCAGCCCTAGATTAAATGAATACTACATAGACAGATTATAGATTAATTTGCCAATTATTTTTCAGTTCATCATTTAGTCTTGCCCATCCCAGTTTCCCAGAGACAAGGTGACATCTTCAAATAGTTTTCTTTTCTTCTGACCAGCTGGATTTTATTTTAGAAAAGCATGAATTAATCACCTAATCATGTCAGCACAATATTTGGGTGTCTCTCGCCTACACTCTCAGTTACATTTGGATTCTGACAGCTCATGTTTGCTTATGGTGATTGGGAGTGACAGTTGTAAACCTCTAACTGTGTTGGCTACAAACAGCTGTGGTGTATTTAGTTATATTTACAAGTGGAGCGTGCTGAATGGTGGATAATGCAGCACATGTGTCTTTGGACATTTATTCCTTCCCCATAAAGCTGGGTGTCAGTTTTTAAGCTCAAGTTGTCTCTTCTTCTTCTTCTTCACCGCCGCCGCCGCCTCTTCCTCCACCTCCTCTACTGAAGACAAAACAGCACGTGTTTTTGACTGAAAAGAACACCTTTCTACCTCGTTCTCCTTTCTTCCTTTAGCTTTTTGGCTAGCAGCTAGCGACTTCACCAACATAAGGTCTGGCTTCTGGACTTGAACTGCCCCTCACCTGCTGCACAGTCACGCAAACATATCAAGGACAATAAAACAATTTTCGTTCTGGTAACGCAGCGTTACTTTATTAATAATTGATTAATAATTTGAAATAGTAATCTCCTACACTACTAGTTACTGGGAAAGTAAGTTACTGCACAACACTGCTCAGCGTTGTCGGCTAGAGGATGTCACACATGCTACCGTGACTTCTATCACCAGCAGCTCAGCTTTTACATTATAGATTGTAAAATGTCAGGAAGGTATGGGGGAAAAATAGATTCCCTCTAAATCTACTATAGACCCACTGTGACAGTATAAAAAAATACTCAAAATACTCTTCATGTGTTGGTGGTAGAGCTGCAGCTAATGATGATTTTACTATTCGCAGCTTCGTTAGAAGTCGTTGTGGCGTTCACACTACGTGGCTGGTCGGGGACAGAGACACACACCACAGGAGCTGACAGCGGCTCTGTCACCCGACGCTGGTCTCCAAACCACGTTTTGTCAAGAAAACACACGTGAAATGTGAAACGGGAAATGAGCGATCCTGCACACGAAACAGCTGTTTGTTATCATAAAGACGGTAATTATAAAGACATAGACTGGTTGAAAGAATGGATTAGCAGACCAGGTAGCAAGGATAGTCTGAGCTACAGAGAGAGCTGCAGGGGAGTTAAAAGGTGCAGCTCCCCGACACCCAGTTAACTCCTGACTGTGAGGTTATAGCTCACGGCCCAAAAAGGAGAACAAACAATTTTCTTCACTAGTGTAGAGATGTGAGATGACATGTCAGGTTCTCTGTGATGCTGATTCCCAGGAACCTGAAACTGTTCACCTGCTCCACCTCAGCAGACAGGAGTGTGTGTCTTTATCTATCTTTATTTTTTTCTACAATCAACGATCAGCTGCTTGTTCTGCTGACGTTGAGCAAGGAGGAAAGAAGAGTTTTAAAATGACTCTCCAGAATCATGTGGTTAACCTCACTGATGCTGCTCATGGTTAAAACACGTAAAACAAAAAGTTGCATAAGTCAAATAGAAACCTTGTCACATCTTTTTCAGCCTTCAGTGCATGTAGATCACTTGACTATAACTACCGTAAAACTTCACTTAATAGTCGAGTCCGAAATAGCTGCTGCCCCTTTTACTGGCTGGTGTGGGAACACATTTTGACACAGAAACACTGCCTCAATTTAACGCCTGGTCTGGTTTTTATAGAAGTTCTTTGGATGTTTAAAAGCTCTTAAACTCTGCCGGTTTGCCTGCTTTAGCTGCTTCTAAGCTGCTTACATCGTTAATACAAATATTAATGTTTAAACTTATGATCAATATGTCAGTATTGACATGCTACACATCATTCTCCAAAATTCAATTGTTCAGTTCAATATACTGAAACAACGAGTCCCAAAGTCTAATTTTTACAGATTTACCAGTGTAACCGACATGGTACAAGAGATGAAAAGGAAAAAAAAGTGCCGACTCTCTTTACTTTTGAAGCACTCGTTAAGTCTGAATAGGGCTGGGCAATAAAACAATAATGTCAATTATTGCAATATAATTTTTCTCTATAACAATATAATCAATGTTCAATATATCATCACAAATTATTTGGTTTAATCCATTTGAATCACAGACAAGTTAGCTCTTAATTTTTCTATTAAAATATTAATTTTGTTGAGGAAAAGGGACTGAAAAAGTATTTACTAATCATATTTGTTGAAAAAGATTTTAACATAATAGTTGTAAATGTTCTACCTCAGCTTTGTGAAGTGATCCACTGTTTGGCATAAAGTTCTTGTAACGTTCTGACCATAAAGAAAAGTTAAGCATCTGGTTTCTTTCATTTTCACTCAGGAGCAAAAATCGGCCTTTAAACTTGAAAGAAATAATGATTTGACGTATATCGTGATAATTATCAATATCGAATGATATGAAATGTTTTTATCGTGATAACATTTTTGGCCATATCGTCCAGCCCCAAGTCCAAATGTGTCCGGTGCTTGATTATTTATATTGCTTTTGTCTGTAAGGGACCACCGATCAAAGGAATCAAAACAGCTTTTCATAAATATTAATCCACGTTGTGGCTTCTGCCACACTTTTTTCATCCTGCATCCTGTTTTTGTTTTTGTTACGTTGCTGCCTTCAAAATAAAAGTGCATAAACTGTCTGTCGGAGCTATAGATCAAATAAATGACGTGCATAAAATGTTATTTGATAATTTTCACACAAGTAATAATCTGTTTGGAATACATAAACTGTTTCATAGTAGCCTATTTCAGTTTTGTGCAAGAGGAATTGAAGGCCTGTCCCAAATATAGGCAGGGTCAATTCAGTGATTTTAGCAAATAAAAGCCCAGGCTATTTTTACGTATTAGCAGGTTAAACATTAAACAGTCTCTCTTTTTTAGTTGAATTACAGCTTGGGGACTTCAGCAACAACAAAAAGAGGCGTTTATTTCCAGGTATTTTAGATCTAATGAGGAATAAAGTTCACATGAAGAGAAACAGCGAGACGCTCGTCTGCTAACAATTACCAACCTCTGAAAATAACAACAACAGCTGCATTGTTCTGTGTGATGGGAAACATGTCAGCGGTTTGAGCCATGTGAGTGTGTGAGTGCATTTTAGATTTGTAAACTTCAGCAGCAGGATTTTAACTCTTACTTGACAATAGCTTGTTTTGTTTTATGGCTCCCAGAATGTTTTGATTGATTGTAAGATTCTTGTGATCAGCTGCCACGACCTGCGTGGAAGAGCCTTAGTATAATAGGATATAATAAAAAATGCACGCGCACATGTATGCACTTATGCATACGCCATAGGCATTTATCAAGATGTAGGATTAGGGATTCGGAAGGGGGACATGATAGAAAAAAGGTTGACACCGCTGCTGTAAATGGACTGAAGAAACTCACTAGCCTTGCCACGTTAAGGCGACAAAAAATACCATTGCCTAATCCTACAAAAATAATCTTATATATTGCCAGAACAAACGTTTTATATTCTGGACAACACCATAAATGAAGTCAAACTGTGTGTCAGAAAGGCTGATTGAAATCAAATCTAAAAACTCAGAAGGAGGTGATTTGGTGGACCAAAGGTGTCTAACTAACTGATTATGTGATTATATCTGTGTTCTTCCTGCAGACCTGGCTGCCCTTCCTCTGGTGAAGTTTGACTTCTCCTGTAACAAAGTGTCGACCATCCCTGTGTGCTACAGGAAGATGAAACAGCTCCAGTCGCTCCAGTTAGAAAACAACCCACTGCAGAGTCCACCTGCACAGGTACACACACACACACACACACACACACACCCTTTGTTTGTTCCATTTCCTGTTTAGTCTCTTAGCATCTGGTGCTTTACCTTTCTTTAGTAAACACAAGTCAGATGTCTCTGTCCTGCTGCCTTCACACAGCCTGATGTCCATTTTTCTAACCTGGAGAGACACAGCCATGCTTGTTACGAGGTCATGTGACCTGAAATTGCCAGATCCACCACAGATTTCAGATTAAAAGACCGTCTTCAGCCCAGAGTTACTCTCTGTGTGAGCCAGCCTTCAACTAGCTCAGCTAGCTTAATGTGATGCAGAAGTAGCTCTGATGTTTCTGTGGTGAAAAGTATCAGGATCTCAACATGAATTAAAACATATCTTTATACCCAATGCTGTATTTAATATATATTTTATTGATTATATGGAAGAATTAGCCTGCTACACAATAAAAAGGCTCCACAGTGCTTTAGATGAAGAAATATTAACTTAATTAAACACAAACACAAAGTGAAACGAGTCGTAGGACTTCCCCGTTGTTGAAAATTTTCTGGAAATTATATTAAAAAGATATATAAAGTTTTTGTTTCACAAATATGAGGTGTTTAGTCTCATGTATTAGGCTGTGCAACTAAAGATTATTTTCATTATTGATTAATCTGTGGCTTTTTTTCCAGAAAATTGTGAAAAATGTCAATCAGTGTTTACCAAAGCTCAAAATGACGTCCTCCAATGTCTTCTTTTGTCCACAACCCAAATATATTCAGTTTACTGTCACAGAGGAGCAAAGTAACCAGAAAATATTTTTTATTTAAAAAAGGAATTAAAACGATTTATAATATCGATACAGATATCAATATGAGAGCTGTCGTTTACACACAGCTTGTTATTTAATAGCTGGAATGAAGGGTTACCTGTTATAACAACAGTATCACAGGGCAAGATATCATTTATATGCTCTGCATCATAGTTTTCTAGAGAGCCAGTCTGTGTGGACTGACCTGCATCGCCTCAGAGGTTGAAGGACAAAAGACGCTGCGGGAATGTTAAAGCCAGAGTTCAGTGACTCAGCAGTCAGGTCGCTAGGTGAGATGGTTGAAGAAGAGTAAACTGTTTCACTTCATCTGAATTTGAATCTCTTTTCTTTTTCAGATCTGTATAAAGGGTAAAGTTCACATATTCAAGTATCTGAGCATCGAGGCGTGTCGCAGTGAGAAGATGCCCGACTCTCTCTACCTGCCTGTCATCGAGCGCCTCAGCCTATCACGGCCCGCCACCGGCAGGTCAGTTTCTGTGGCAGCTTAAATATCACCCAGTGGGAAGGCGCCGTCTTCTCCATCTCATCTGCAGTAGTGCTGCAGTTGTTACCATGATGGAAAATCTCTCCTCCATCATCTGTTTGTACGAGTATCCCAGCCTTTGTCAAACCAGTAAAACTTAATGGGAACACTGTAGAATACAGTTCTGGCACGTAGAAGACTAATTGCCTCATCAATCTTTAAGCATTCTGGCAAATGAAACAAGAGCTCTGATTCAATTTTCCAAACAGTCTTCTGTAGCAGCTGCAGAGTAACCACACTAAAATGATTTTAGAAGCTTTCACATGCTGCTGACGAAGAGGTCTTTCAAAACAAATACATCTTTATTTCACTTCAAGTATCTGAGAAGATTGAGTGATGGTTTGATTATACCTTATATACAGATCCCTTCTGAAATAAAATTCACACATGAGATTAAATATAAACATTCAGCAGTTCACTTTCAGATTCTGAGTCAGTTTTTGTTGAATTCAGCAGCTTTGGCGACGTGCTTTGTTTCTAATTGCGACAACAAAGTGTTCTGAATTTATTCAAGGAAGGTTCAAATCAAAGGCAACTGGACTTGGTTGAAGATAAGATGTCGTTATCAAGGTGATGGATACCGCTGGTTAGTTAGTGCTCCTGACTGTTGTTGGCATCGGGTGAAAATCACCCCTTTTGAACAATCTGTCCTCCCTGTCCAAAATGTGTACTTTGTCCCTCAGATGTAAATAAACTGTTGACTTTTGACCAGAGGAGATGTGTTAAACTTAAGAAGTCTCAGATGAGAGGCGAAACATCTTCAGGTATCTTCAACCAAGTCCAGTTGCCCTTGATTTGAACCTTCTTTGGATAACTTTGACCTGGATGACTAAGAACCTCCACAGACATGTTCTAATTGTTTTTCCCTTCAACTGGCTTTCTCTCCATACGGTGGCTGAGGTTATTGGGTATCGTAGTATCGTACTGCAAAATCTAAACAGCAGTTCCAGGAAATGTTATGTGATGATTGTTGCCATTTAGTTTTAATACATTTCAGCAGTGTTAACAGGAAATGGGTACATTCAAAAAAGTGATGAGGTCTGGCTGAAATGTACCCTCTTTGTTCCAAACTTTTGGGACTTCCATGTTATCTGCTCATAAATCCTGTCAGTTCTTAGCTGAGGACCTCTAACATGGCTGCCAGAGGCATGTTACATCACACCAAAGCCATTTATTTTGTTTGGTTTTAATGACATTACGCTGTGTTGGAGGGAAGGTGTCTGTCTCTGCTGGAAACGAGCGTCTGTCTGTGATCTAAGCTTCCTCAGTTTCTCAACTGGAGCCAAATCCTCCATTAGTCAGCTGAAACTGATCCGTCCGCTGACTCCCTGCTGGGTCACACTGACAGTCTGCCATCAGAAGTTCACTGCAGTGTTAGGCCGAAATCCAGCCTCTGCTGGATGAGATATTATTTATGGTTTCTGGATGGAAGAAAGACACAAACAATAGATAGAGGAATGAAAGAAAGAACTATCACATGAAAACGAAGGAACAAATGTAGGCATCATAAGCAGAATAAAGGAGTGAATCCAGCAGAACGATCAAAGTAAGAGATTGAGGAAAGGAACAAAGGAACAGTAGTAGAAGTGGGAGAAAGATGGAAGGAATTCACAAACAGTAGAACAGACAAGACGGAACAAAGAAAGAAATAACAAACAAGTGACGCTACGCAAATGAAAACAGATAATAATAAACTTGGAAGGAAGAAGCAAAGGAGGAAGGGAAGTAAGGGATGCAAAGAAGAAAGAAATAAAGTAAATGAAGGGGAAGGAAAGAACAAGTGAGAGCGATTGAATAAAGCAGAGGAGTTATAGCAGGGTGGGCTGCAGTGAAGGCAGATTAAATACTTACACATAAAGCAGATAGTGAACCATCTCGGACTGCTCCAAACATCACAAATAGAAAAAGCGAAGACAAGAACATCTGATGAGGAGACACACATCAGCACCTATAGAGCTGTTGACCTCCAGTTTCAGGCCGTTCTCCCCCCAGGGCGTCACTTTTAATGCCCTGGGTCAAGTTAGCAAAAATAAATATGCAATGACCGGTTAGACTTTTGGTTAATTTGGTTATGTTTAGGTACGAAAACTACTTGGTTAGGTTTAGGAAAGGATCACGGTTTGGGTTAAAAGATCTAAGTTACTTACAATCAATGATGACTTTTTGACCGTGATCACACTGGAACACCAGTGGGTGAAACAGGGTACCCGCAGTGTCTTAAGAGTATTAAAGTTCTAAATTTTATATTCTTAAAATAATTATTTTGTGCATTAAATATGAATGTGAGTAAATGAGTAATATGTTTTATTAAATTCAGATAACTTAAAAATCATACAGATTTTCATTTTATGGCATCGAAATGTGCATTAAATTTCATCCTAGGTGGTATTAAAAAGTCTTCAATTTAACTTGGAGGATCCTGGGGTTACCCTGTGAAAGTTCGGTTTGTGACCCGCCCAACCACCTCATTAGTCCGACTTTTCTGTTATTTATACTAGGCCTACTTTTAGCGTTGAACAATGACGCTAAAGGGTGCCTTATGCGTTGGTACCAGCCGCTGAGAGATGTGACAAAGCGTATGTATTTGACGACCTGGGAATGAGGACAAGCTGTTGGTTTTCCAAACGTGTGGGAATATATTTTCAGCCACACTGAAATGTGGAACAGACATTCGTGTGTGTGTGTGTGTGTGTGAATAAATTGTAATCTTGGTAATCACTTAAATTTCCCTCTAGAAAATATTTTCATTTGCTTAGTTTATTACTGATTTCCATCAGCCCCAGCTGTGTTTATTGCTAATGCTAGCATAAAGTCTTCACAGAGCAGCCAGTAGACTCTTGGTCTTGTTTTAGGGAGTCTTTTAAATATAGGTTGTTGGTTTGAAGGAGGTTAATGGGGCTAAGATGAAAACAGCATTCAGACTGTTTTTGGAGGACATGTGAATAGGAACTGTACTTGGACCATGAATGATGACAAGTCCACAAAAACAATTGTTGACTGAGGGGGAAGAACAAGGACAGCAGGATGCAAAGGATTGTAAGGTAATGAGGTGATGAAGGAAGAAAGGATGAGGTGAAAGTAATGGAGCAGAGAATGAAAAGCTTCAGCTCCTCTGTCATTCATCTGAAACTGAGCACGAGCTCTCAGAGGATGCTGAGCTGTATAACGTCCGCCCACATGAAACCCTCCCAACACGACTAGGCTTTTGGTGTGAGAGACCCAGGTTCAATCCCCCACTGTGAAAAATAGTTCCTATTCTCCTGGAGAGCTCACACACATCCTGTATTTTTTTCCTTTGTGCTTTATTATTCTTTTGTTTTCTCTCCTCCAATTACTCTCCATGATCCTCTTTGTCTCTTTTTTATGCCTTTTGCTTTTTTATCTCTCTCCTTTCTTACAGTCTTCAGTATTTCTTCTAAGAGTTCTTGTGTCTCTTGATTGTTTCCGTCTTTATTTTTTCCTCCTTTTCTGTATCTCCCTCTACTGCTCACTGTCTCCTTCTTCTCATCACTCTATTTTTATCCTAAAGGTGGGGTAAGCTTTTCTAATCTAATACACTTCTGTCTGTCAAATTCCGCTAATATCTCCTCACTGCTTGCTACCTGTGTGGTATTGTGTGCGCTGAACTAAACCTGGTGTTTGAAACAGACACAGTGGATCGGGCCGAACCACACAAAACTATTCCAGCTATGATTTGTGTCAGCTAACATTAAGTGCAGCTAAATAAAAGAAATCTGATCGTGATCAAACGTTTCACCCAGCTATGGACGATGTTGACATGCGTACCTGTCAACATTGCGATTTGAAAATAAGAGAAATTTTCAGGCACCCCTACCACTGTCCACAGAACATATACATTTAGACTAGGGTACACACAGTGAGTCCTAAAATCACTACTAGTGAACCACTTGCTTTAAAATATCAGTGTACGAATGATTGGGTCCTACATGACGTGAGCGACTACAGTTAGGTGGTCAGGATGTGACACCGGTTGAAAGTGAAATGCTGTTAACATCTCTGCATTACACAAATTCATTGCGGCGTTTGCCACACTGAAAAACACAACGTGAACAGTCAGCTATTAAAAACTCAGGAAATCAGGACGAGCACAGCAGTGTGAACGCAGCCTGACGGAGAGAGAGAGAGAGAGAGAGTGGGGAGCTGCAGATGGGGGCTGAGCTCTCTCTCTCTCTGTTTCACTGTGGCTTACTTGCTGTGTAGCTCGCCCACACACACACACACTCTCCTCCCGTGTCAGGTGTGTGACCTGTTCTGTGTGTCTGCAGTGTGGAGGACATGGAGCAGCAGAAGAAGCAGGACAGCGACTCAGGAGTCGGCAGCGACAACGGAGACAAGAGACTGTCTGCTACAGAGGTACTGAGAGTGTGTGTGAGATGTTGTGTGTCTTTACACCGTTGTGCCTACATACTGTGTGTGTGTGTGTGTGTGTGTGTGTGTGTGTTTTTATATTCCTGTTTTAATGAGGGTGGCCACATCATACTCTTGTAGCTGTGTTTATGTGCATGTGTGTAACAGAAACAATATCTCAGCGTTTCACCTGTCAAAAATCTTCCCCTTGCTTTCTAGTCAGCTTACTTTTCTCTTTTTCAAGCGTTTCACTCTTTTAACATGTCTCTTTGTTTTCCTTCATTTGTAGTTTATCGTTATCGTTGCACATTAGACTCCACCTTGTCAGTGCAGTGACATTATTTTAGAGGTTACTCTGTTATAACACTGCACATGCAGAGGAAAACATGTTCTTTAAATGATTCCATCCTTCTATGGGCTTCTGTACTGTCCATATGTGAAGTGTTTTATTACTATTATTATTATAACCTTTATTTAACCATAAAATATTAAACATGAAAGCTCTGATTATCTCATTAAACGAGAAAGTACAATAAGCAAATAGTAGTTTAAAACGGAGTCATCAGGTGATCTGTTTAGAACTGCGGCTGATGGTTATTTTAATTATTGATTAATATTTCAATAGTTCTTTATGTTTATGTTATGTTTGTTCTATATATTGTCAGAAAATAGTGAAAAATCACTATTTCCCAGAGCCCAATTTGACATCTTTAAATGTTTTGGTAAAACCGTGAATCGATTAATTTTTCCAATGATTGGCTGATGAATTAACTGTTTCCACTCTGAACTGGTTTGTTGTTGTTTTTGTTTGTTGCAGCCGTCAGATGAAGACAGTCTGAGTCTCAACGTACCGATGAGCCACATCACAGAGGAGGAGGGGATCAGTAAAGACGACTCGAGTGAACACCTCAGCTCCCTGACAGGTATGCGCACACACACCTGCACGCACACACGCGGACAGGGCGTGGAGGTAATTAAACAGATAGTAAAGCCTAAGATCAGAAAACAAGTGTCATCATGTGGAGGATTTAAGAGAAGACTATGTCTGTCTGAGTCAGGGTAATATCACATTTACCTTATAAAGATGAATTAAAAGTATTAAATACACCTGTGTGGAAGATGACCTGCCCTCACAGTGTTCCAGCTGTACTGAACAGTAAACTGTTTAACATCTATTGCAACCACAGATGAAGTATATCAAACTTGTTGCTACTGTTAGCGTTAGCTGTATGTGGGGCGTCGGCGCGACACATTGAACACGGCGCGTTCCTTCAGATTCACGCCATTTTGAAGTAAATGCTTCGTCATGTTGGAGCTGCTTCCTCCCTCGCACCAAACCTTCTTACTGCAGCTTGGAACCGGTGAAACCTGAATGGAACTTTTGACCAGTTTCAGCGTGGGCGAAGTTTATCAACCTGTTGTCGTTTGTGTACTTCTGACAGCTTGCTTCTCTTAACAGCCATAACCCGTCAGCTGTGTCTGCGTATCTGGGCTGCCGGACTCTATTAGTGAACACCAGCAGCTCCCCAGACACAAAGCTTAAATAGACTTCAATCAGCCTCAATCAGGTCAGAGCTGATGGAGGGTCACATTCACTGAGCCGAGTGAAAAGAGGCAGTCTGGGTTACTTTACTTTTAAAATCTCAACATTGTAGGCAGCTGGGGCTCAAGTTTTCAACAAAATGTAAAAAATTACATTTGAGTCTAATAAACACATACAGGAGTTTACTCCTGTCAGTTTACAGCGAGGTCCTCTTGTGGTGAGAATATTGAGACTATGTTAAGTAGAGGTGAGAAAATACGAATGGGTGGCTGATGGCGCACCAGTGTCCCTTAACTTTCGTCACCAGACAATTTAAAACAGATATAAAGGGCTGGCCTGAATTTCATTTTTTGCCGCTGTTTAAACGTCTGTTGATAAGCTGACCGTCACGAGCTACAGCTACGTATTTGATAAATATAAGCAGCAAAATAAGGATAAATACCTAAGAGGTTCCGGCAATGATATGAGTGAGAGAGAATCTGATGGGGGAGAGATAGGTGGCTCATTAATGTCTGTGTGTGCGTGTGTGAGACGTAGACAACAACAGCAAGTTATTTTTAACAACACTTTATTTTTAACTGTGTTATGTCTAGGCTAGTAGACCCTAGTGCAGGACTAGAAGAATGAAGAGTTGGATAAAAGAGGAATATTTACTGCGTGGGTTGAAGGGACGGGAGATTGAGCCAGGGAAAATCAGAATCAGAAGGAGCTTTATTGGCAAGGAGTGTTTCTGCACAGTGAAGCTCAAACATCCAGCTGAAACACCTGCAGGAGGACTTTAATAAAAATACAGAAATAGTTAAACAATATTAAAACTGCGACTGCAGGCAGATTTCGTTTGTATTGTTGGAACCAAACCCAAATGTAGAATCTACACACAACAAACAAAACACTTGTGTTTTTAACAAACCTTTACAGGATTATAAATACCTGTTTCACAGTAGTTTCAGAGTGGAAATGAAGAGCTGAAGTACCATCTCATGTACTTTTATCGGCCCTTCTAAAAGCTGAAACAACATATCCCATGAGTGTTATGCTGCCTGCACACTAGAGGATAATGGACAGTTTTTGGGTCTGATTTGCTCTCCCGACCCTTGTGGAGTTGGGCCGGGAAGCTTCTTCAGCGTGTTGTGTATCTGCGCTATTAAATGTATAAACTCGCCGATTCCATCTTCTCAGCCTCGAGTACATCCACAGTTTGATTTTCTTTTGTTTTTCTGCACAAACATATCACACACAAAGTCAACCAGCTGACAGTCTGCCTCCATGCTTGTTTCTGTCTGAAGTCACATTTGATCAAGTTTCTGTCAGATCCTAAGTCTGTGGTATCCCACATTTTTTAAATCGGTAAACCTCTAGTGTGCAGCAGTGGTTAGCTACAGAAACACTTATATTATTTTATGAACAAATCAGTTTGTTAGCAGAAAGTAAAAGCTGTGAAAGATGCTGTAATTGTTCCAGTGACAGAAACAGTGTTGGCACTAATTACATTCTGAACACTGTGGACGCTTTCTGAAATCACTCCATATTTACTACATAATGCACTATATCTACTGTCTGTTATTTAATTTGTGAGCCCAAAGCTGAAAGACTCAAACACGTTTCACTTTCCTTCATTCCAGCAGACCCAAACTCTGACTCGGTCCGTCTGATTGAGGAGAGCCCTACGGAAGCCCTGAGGGACCAGTTCAGCTACAGAGATTCGGCTCTCAGCACTCGCTTCGTCAACTACATCAAGGCAAGACTTCATGTTGTAGTGCTTCTCCTTTCAGCCAGTTTATTATTATAGACTGATGCAGTAAAAGGTCCTCTTCATGAATAACTCCACACGCTGAGTGAAGTCTAGTTACATAAGTTCCAGTGTTCGTTAGGCTGCTTGTCATGTTGGGTTCCTGAAGTCTGTGGGTTATTTTAATGGAGCCTACACTGTCACTTTGTGTTAGTTAATAATCATTTCATGTACTTTTTTTAGAGTTAAAAGTTGTTGGTTGATGTCACGTGAAAGGCCCAGCAGTTGGAGTTGGTCTCGTTATAGAGCGTTATGTCACAGTGAGCCCACGAGTCTCCTCAGAGACTCAGCCGTGACCAAATAAGGAAAATTAAACAAGTGAACAAGTGAGGAGCTTCAGACCAAAAGTGCCTCAGACAAAACAACCACATCAGTCGTTTCAGCAAAGTCCCCTAAACAATCTTTGTTTACATTCAAGTGACAAAGTCCTCTAGTTGAAGTGGTCACTTTCACTCCTGTCTGTTGGGAAGAAAGGAGGAAGTGGTGTGATGTTAATTTAGAGCCACGAATGGGTCAACAAAAATCACATAACGTTTCCAACCATCATGTTTTTTCAAACCATTGTTTCCAAACCATAACCAGGTTGTTGTTATTGCAACCATGACAAAAAAGGTCGCCTAACCTTAATGAAGTAAATGTAACAAGTCGTTTCTGTGCCTGAACCCAAGCAAACCTCAACGAGAGCTGTGAGAACAGTTTAACTTCTGAAACGGTAGCGTTGTTCTGTGCTGCTTCTGCTGTGTGTGGTTGAATTTGGAGGACTTTTGTCGCCTCAGTGCTTCCAAAGTATTGAAAACAAACTGTCCTTCTTTATTTTATTGATCTGAGATGTGGATGACTGTAACATCACTAAATAAATCTGATGGATCAAGAAACACGCAGCAGTTAGACAAAAACAAGGAGAGCTGTTAATACCCAAACTGTGTATTGTACACATCCATTACATTATACTTTGGCCTTCTGTGCTTGCTGTAGTTATGTGCAATCAGTTTTCCTGTGCAATGAAAGATTATTTCTTATGGTGCATTTACTTTCATTGTCACCTCCAAAAGTGGTTTAGTTGATCTGGTCTGGTCTGACTGCTCCAGTTCCTTGCGTCATTTGACCGTGCTCCTAGATCTCAGCACTATTTTCACTCATGTTTAGATGACCATTTCAGGTCCAGTAGTGATCTAGTAGTCTAATAGTGACAAGAAGAAGTGGTCCAGCTTAATCCCAGTTAACCCATTCATCCCAGTGTGAGGAACAAGGGAAGAGAGTGGAGGAACTGATTCAGGAGAGAAATAGTTTATGACAGTGTCCTTATTGTTGAGTTTGTGTACCAGGGGATGATGGTAACGTCTCTGGATTTTGGCCAATGGCTGGGAACGTCTCTGGATCATGTGACAGCTGCAGCTGGTGCTGATGTGTGTTTGTGTTCAGGGCCGGACAGCAGCAGACTTTGAGGAGCCCCTCAGGATAGAGGAAGACTCACACTGGCCAACACAACAAATGTAAGTTAGTCTATTTTTCTACTTCTTTCTGTGCTTGTTTATTTATTTGTTTTTGTGATTGAGGGCTTTTTATTGTTTTTGCCACAGTTGTGAGACATTAGAATACAACAATTAATGAATATAAACAAATGCAAAGAGAAAACAAAATAAGCAGAAAAGGGCTGAGCACGGAAAGGTATATACTTTCAGCTTTTTAAACAAGTTAAATTGCAATTACTCTGTATTTAATGTGGTATATTTTATGTTATATCACTACTGATTTACATCTGTTTATATTAATTGTGTGATGACATTGTTCTCTATTGGTTAAGAACATTTAGGCAGTCGTGGATTCATTTCAGACTTTCAAAATGGTTGAGTAGCACAATGACCTTCGCCACTGTGATTTAGGATATTCATGTTAAGACCAGTTTATACTTGCGTTTATACTGTGTGGAGTACACAACGTAGCCTGACGCGCACCTCTCCAAAAATGTAACTACACGTCGCGGCGACGCAGATCCCATGAACTGTGATTGGTTGGCTTGGGTAGCATCACATTTCCTCCTCCAAGCCGCCGAGGAAGTGCTCTGTGGTTTGAAGCCAGTTTAACTAATGGTCAAACCAGAAGTTTTCCCCATAGACTTACATTGTGAAATAAGCATCTATAAAACAGAGGATACATTTTTCGCAACCCCCAAGAAATGACTCGTTTCACTATTGGAATTTGATCTATTTGTTCCGATAACATTTGGAAAGTCCAGAAGAGCCACACAATGCGTAGACAGGACAAAGACATTTAAATTGGCCTTTACTCATCACTCGTGTCTTTGGTGTCACAGGTCAAAGGTCACAGGGGGCACAGAGCTCCACATCGACATGATTAACCAGCTGAAGGAGGCCGTGGAGCTGCTGCAGGACCCCAGCAGGTGAGAACCAGCACAACACATCGCAGAGTGGAGTTTAGCTACCTTTATGTATCCTATTTCATGTCTCTTGAAACCATTCTGTTTTCTAGGAACTAAAACAAGCAGAATACAGTATACAATTTAAATGATTGTATATTCAAAATAAGTAGCACCCAATTCACAAAAGTGTAAATAATCAGCCCGTAGAATGTTCTTTTGCTTTTTCTTAACTAGAAAACACTCAGCATAGACTTAGAAAATATTTAGAACATGTCTAAATCAAATGGATCTCTTTAATAACGTAGTTCTTCTGTGTGTCAGAGTGAGCGCAGAGCAGGACGACCTGTCGGGAGTTCAGCTTTACCCCGTGGAGATGGTCACAGTGGAAGAGTCACTCAAGTAAGACTTTGTGTGTGTGAGTCTGTGTGTTAAATTACTTCATACCATGGTCATGGAAAATACTCATTTCTGTTTGGCCGGCAGGTGTCTGGTAAAATTGTATATCAGGACACCTCAAACAGTTAAACCACTGCTCTAACTCAGTGCTTAAGGTATGTTGAACTGAATGCAACCCTAGCAACAGTGCTGATGTTTCGGGCTCTGTTAGCTGCTAGTGAAACTCACCTAACCACAGGTTAAACTGAAACAACATGAGGTTAAACTGACTACAAACCCTACATAGATTTCTTTGGAAATCTTCCATCCTTCTAACTTAAGAAAATACCCCTATTTCAAATGTCAGTATTCCACCCTGGACTCCCCTCTCGTTGAGAGTTTTGAAAACAGTGTCAACAAGTTTTGTCTTGTGAAGTTCAGCTGCTTTTACTTGCATTGCTGAAGGCAGATGCAAGTGAAATTCAATGATGGTTGAGTGTTTTTGCTTGTGGTTGTGGTGTGTTTTTGCCAACGTCTGCATGTAGATTAATGGTCAATGAGTAGATTGTAGTCACTGCTGCCATATCTGCTAATGTGTTAAATCCTATCCTTTTTCTCTCTCTCCAGTGGGCAGGACAGTGATGACGGCGTCACCACACCAAAGGTACAGTGTGTAGAAATAACATGTTGTCATCAGCATACATGATGATAGTTCACACCTTATTGTAATTTAACAGTGAATGACGGCAATTAACTTTCTATTGAACATCAGTCATTAAAGGAGACCCATTATACTGTTTTTCCAGTCCTATATTGTAGTTCTGTGACTCCTGTTTGGCAGCTTTGCATGATTCAAAGTTCAAAAAAAAATTGTCTGTCTTATACTGGCTCTTCATGTAGGCCTTCATTTGAGCCTCTGTCTGAAACAAGCTGTAGATGCCCATGTGTCTTTAAGGCCCCCACTCTCAAAGCCCACTGTCTTCTGATTGGCCAAGATCTGAAACATGTTACCAGGCTGTTGTTGCAGCTGAGCAGTACAGACAGACTAGTGCTGTGTTTCAATTCGGGTACTTCCATCAGTATACTAACATGCAGTACACTGCGTACACTATGTACTTACTTGATTAGTACGTTAATTTTGACAGGGTAGTGTTGTCTCAAATCAAACACTGCTGTTGTGCACTAACCGGAAATAACTATCGCAAGATTGCACAATCCCCCCAGCACAGAGGCTGCCTCCAAAATAACAACCATAATAATAATAAAACAAATAATAAAGTAGCGACAGTCCCCTTTCCATTGTGTATTTAATTATTTTTGAAGTTTCACAAGAATTTTCTGTACATCATGAGCCAGACTTTATTCAATTTAAACTACTCATACTAATGTAATGACAGAATAACAGCGGTACGAACATTTAAACTATCTTACAGCTGTGTTTTTCTCTGGCGTTATTGCTGGAGTCCCTGCTGAGCTGGCTGCAGAGGTCTGTGTGACTGCAGGAGCAGAGGGCTCTGTGCCCAGACAGCTGGGCGGTCTCGCTAGCTCCTCCTGCGGGTTGGTGCGAGCTTCCCCTGCCTCCACTTGTGGAGCTTCTCAACTCCGAAAACGTTCAAGCATATTTTTAATCCGCCATCCCTTTTCATAAAACTGTCAATATTTGCCTCAAAACTTCTCAGAAGTGGATTTAGTGATGAAATAGTGTACTAAGGTGAGAAGTTTCCACCGTTCCACACTCAACTTTTAGCCGTTATGCAACATCCGGGTACTCTCAGTGCACTACATTTTGCCGTACTTCTCAGTGTGAACGCACTTATGCACACAAAATAGTAAGTGCGCGAATTGAGACACAGCATGAGCATTGCTGTGCCGTTGCTGTGGGAGCAAATTACCATATATGGAATATCGTCTCTGTCTGGCTCTGTATGTTGTAGAATGGAGCCGTTGGTGGAAAAAGCTGTTGAAAACAGAGCGTTCAGAGCAAGAAGAAATCTGAAGTTTTGGCTCACAAGGATTTCTTTTAAATACTTTAATCTCATTATTTCAAGCTTTGGCCATGTTCAACATGGACATCCAACATTGTAACATTGTAGATAAGTCATAGAATATGGTAAAGCATAATAGGTCTCCTGTAAGGTGATACTTTTATCTGGAGAGACTTCGAGTGAGTTTGGTGTAAACTTCAGGTTCTAGATCAACACTGCAAGGATCTAAATCAAAGATCACAGAGTAGATTCTGTAATGTGACACATAAAATAGCACCGCTATGCCTTGAACAGTAGCCCCACCTAATAATACGTGAAACAAAAAAAAGTAGTGTATTCTTACTCCCACTGTAAATCCTGCACATAGTGTGGCTTTACATTTATTTGATGCAGCAGACTTAAATACATTTTCCTTGATAAGTATACTCCTGTGATGGAGATCCAGTTTGCCTTTAAACTATTTTGTAGGGGTTCAATGGATCACAAAACTCACAGTTCGGGTCTTACCTTGGTTTTGAGTCACGGAGTAGCATCAGTTTAAAAAAATAAAAATAAAGGGGTTATTTTAGCTTAACTTTGGCTCTGAATTAGCCACCTCTGTCTGTCTGTAGTCACCACTCTGTAGTCTCGCTCAGTGTCCCACCCAGAGCAATCATCTGATTGCAGCCTGTGAACACTGAAGGCTGCTGTGCCACAGATGGGCAAAGAGGCCGAGCTGATCCGCTGAGTGTCGAAGGGAAGGCAGCAGATATGTAACTGATGCTGCAATAAACATCACGATCTGAAAACCTGTTTCTATGATGACAAGCAGACCAGTGGCCTGAAAATGGCCAAAGTCTCAGCTTATAGGGTTTCAAAACGTTGCTCTTCCCTAAACCAAATCCCTACGGATCACTACAATCCATTACACCACTACTTTTTTGTCTCTGTCCTTGGAAATATAAAGCCTGTAAAGTTTTTTATGTAACAGCAGAGCTTTAAGGTCATTTAAAGCCTAAACGTTTGATGCGTCCTGTAGCAGCACATGGAGGAAGGTGGCTATGAGTTCCAGAAGAAGAGACAGATGTTTGAGAAGGCCAGGTTTGAGGCCCAGCTTGCTTGCCAGGAGTATGAATGGCATATGTCAATCAAGGTAAACCTAGCACCATACCACTGGATGTAGGCTCTGTCCCGCCCCCTCAGCGCTTTACTGTCCTCAGTCGTGTTTCCCAGGAACCCAGCGGTCTGTCACTTGTGTGTCTGTTTCCTGTGAGTTATTTGGCCAATAATAAACCACACTGAGATTTCACATGTGTCACGTTTCATCTGACAGCCAGTTACACATGCGAACATGGTGGGAACATGTTAATTGATCGCTTTACATCATTACATGTTAAATAAAGTCGGTTTTAATAAAGTGGTGGCTGGTGAACTGACAGTCTCCTGTGTTGCATGTAAGTGTGTAAAGAGTTCATCTGCAGACGTTGCTGACACGTGTCTGTCTCTTGTTTGTTTCATAAGCAACCAGCACTGTCTGACAATAACATTTCAGTTTTATGAACTTTATTAAGGTAATGCCAGTAGTGTTGTGTTACTCCCCCAGTCCAAATTCAATTCTAACCCCATGCTGCACTGAGTCAAAATAAAGACTCCAACCATCGAAGGAATGGCTCAGCATTTTGGTAAATAGTTACATTTTTGTTTATGTACAGATGAAACAAACAAGATATGTTGTGTTAATTAGCGAACTGCTAATGTTGGACAGAGCTAGAGTAGCTGTTTCCCTCTACTGCCAGTCTTTATGGTAAGCTAGGCTAAGAATTGGGTATTGTTTCTCAGTTCTGGTTCCTTCACCACAGATCTCGTCAGCACTCGGTGACCTGCATCCTCTTCCTCCTTATTCATCTTCCCCTTCATGGCTAAAGTGAAAGGAGTCTCTGTACTGGAGGGGCGTCTCTGAGGACTGGTCTCTAAGAAAAATATATATTGAATCCTTTGTAGACATCATTGGTTTCCCTTCAGTATAAAAGGTGAACGTCAGATCACCTGTGTTTTTGTACCTGAGACGTTGCTACAGTTAGCGTTAGCTGTATGTGGGGCGTCGTTGTAGCTGGGAGAGAGCGGCACATCGAACACGGTGCGTTCCTTCAGATGGTCCAGGACTGGAAACAGAAGGACTCTCTTCTTCATGCTTTGTTGACGTACTGCGTAACAAATGAGGTGACGTTAGGGCGGCGGAGCAGCTCCTGGCAGATAAGAGACACTTTTATGGACTGTAAAATGCTCACTGCAGTTCAGTCAGGAGCTGAAATATGCAGGAAGTTAAGAACTGATAAGCAGAATCCAAATGCACAGGTCTTAATGAATCCAAGGTTCTTGAAAATTTGGTAACCATTCCAACTTTGAGCCAGGTCTGGATACCTAACCCTAGCCCTGACTCCAGCTCTGTACTAAACGGCTCTGACATGAGACAGATATCAGTCTTCTCATGTAAAGTTTGGAGACAAAGCTCATAAACCTTTTTAAACCAAACCAACGCCACAGCTCGCTGCCCTCAAACTGGAGACTTCAGTGTTTTACAGAGTGAAGAGAGAACGAGGAGAACAAGACTGCTTTGTTTCACCAAACTGGTCTGACAATGCTCTGAAGTAAAATAATGAACACACAGAGAAAGTGTGTATCAGACTATCAGGAAAAAACTCACCAATCCACACAAATAGTAGCAACACACACACTTGGTGGAGGATCTGAACTGGCTGAGATTTAAAGAAACAAAGCATCAATGAGGACAAATGGGCTGTTAGACCTCAGAGTGTTTTGGATGACAGGCTGGCCTTGAAGTCAAAGAAACTATTCTGCTATCTTCCCTGTCAGTCTGACCCCAGTCTTAGGTTTAAAAGTACCAAAAGCTGGCTCACTTTTAACCGAGTTAGATCACCAAGGTTACATACGCTGACTTCGGAGGATCAGATCAGAACGGGTCAACAGCCCGACCACAGCCAAATCAGATCACGTCTCAGACAGGATCATGGAAGGGACAAAGGTATTGAGTTTACAATAAAGTGTTGTAAGTTATAAACAGCAAATGATAGCCACTTTGCTGCTCCAGACGTTGTGTATCTACTATGGTTTTAAAACAGAGCTTCTATCAAACTCAGGACTTTATGTATGCGACACAGTCTGTATGTTTTTAACGGAAACCTGGCTCCGCCGCTCTTCTTGAGGCCTCTGTCCCCAAACCATAGTTTCTCCCACACATGTAGACAAGGGAAGAAACTTTATTCTCAGCTGTTCTTGCTGGTAGGGACGTATCTTAGGGGGTCTTTGTTTGAGCATCATGCCATTATACTCGGATGTCAGCCTCCTGGGCAGGCAGTAACCTTATACAGGCTCCCCAAGCTGTGCCCACTGTTCTTCACAGACTTTACACAATTCTTGTCTATTATCCACGGTAGGGGAGTGACAAGACACTTAGCTCACGAGAGGAGACATGATATTGGGTTCACGAGATCAAGGCAAGATTTTAACACCATTTTTAAGAAATCTTCAATTCTGAATTATGTGAAAAATTTGAGCATTAAAGAGTTTCTTCATTCTGCAGTTTTCTGCATTGACCCACCCGTAGCCATGGCCACACCTTAGCCACACATGGACTTGCTGTTAATAGATCCTCCGTTGTCGATATGTCTTTGTCTGATCTTTTTTTGTGCATTGTTTTTGGTTACAGCCTGTCAGCACTGAAAAAATGAAACCTGAGGTTGCTGCAGATTTCATGACACCTATTCTACCTTCCGTCAAGATATGGCAAATCACCTAATTACCAAACTCAGTTTAACTGTTGTCAAACAAAGGAAGGCCAACCCCAAACAGAGAGTTCCGTGGAAATTGTCTAAATGACATTTCCATCGTGACATTTTCCAGGAGCAATCAGAAATGCTAGACAAGCTCAAACTGATAATCAGAACAAAAAACCTACTCTCCTCAATCGACCGTCTGATTAATTTTAAGAGTTTGTGGCATTTTGCAGGGATAAGAAAGAGTCATCATCAGGTCTGGCACTGCTCAGTTAGGGAGCGATCTCCTACCTCCCTGTGCCTTAAGGGCCCCGAGGAAATCAGCTGTCTGAGTCAATGTCTTTAGCTTTTCAAAAAGCACACTTTTATCTGAGGAAATTTCCTGGTTTTATCTGATCTTTTCCCTGCAGGATCCTTTTAAAATTGATTTTGTCACAAAAAATCTATACCACTTAAATTCTGTTAAATCAAAGGGGTCTCGACTCTCTTAGAGAGTGCTCACAGTCGGCTGACAGTTGAGTCTCTTTCTGTCTCGGCTGGTTATATAAGTTGAGTGATGGTTAAAGACAGAGGAGGGAGGATCGAGTGCTGTCTTTGAGCCAAAGTAAACTTTAGGTCACTTACCTCCCCATTAAAACAGCTTCATCGCAGGAGCGTTTGTTTCTCTATGTAGTTTATTTCTCTGTGGAGTCATTTGTAATGTTTGTGTGTCTTTGCCAACATCTCCCACATGACAGAGAACATCTAGCATCTGTTCAATGAATTATACTTTTCACTGATTGTTAATGAAACTGACTACTAAACCGCATTGTTTCTGTTTCTGTTGCTGCAGCGAGATGACAGATCTCCAGCCAGCAGACCTCCATCCTTCACCAGCCCAGTGTTTGGACTGAAGCCCCGTTCGGGTGAGTTGAATCTGGGCTTAGAGGGCGGATCAGATACCTGGGATACCAGACCCGCAGGTTGAGTCACTGGATTTACCTAACAGTATGATGAGCATAATGTATAATGTAGGTAGCTCTGGTTGGATTGGAAGCACCAATCATGGCAGTGCCTTGCTGTACCTGTCGAAAGTCTAAAAAAAAAAAAAAAATGAACCGTATTGTAGTGTAGTTTAAGGCGGGTGTAAGAAAACCGATTCTGTATAAAAGAAGTCTTTCCATTAAAATCAGTACAAACCATGTACAATCAGAGGTGCTACAGTTCAGTGAGGATGAAAACCTGTGCCATCTGTTGTTGTCAAGAGCCTGCAAACATTTTTACTTAATCAGCTTCTTCCTCTGAACACAATATAATTTGCCAAAGTCAGAACAGCTCTGGTTGCATCACATTAGAGATTTCTTCTCACTGGTTGGACGTGGTCTAAAAATGGACAGGTCTAAACTGATTTGTGCGTGGGATTTTTAACTAATTTGCCATGTTACCAGCCACACCACACACAGTCACACATTTAATGAGCAGATTAAATTCGTTTTGTGCTTTGTCTTTCTTAATGAAAGATATGTAAAGATGATATGTAATGTTGCTTTTGATTGTAGTGGGAGGACAAAACACCTGCCTGACACAGTGGTGGAAGAAGAACTCTTTTACTTGAGTAAAAGTAAAAGTAGCAATAACACATTGTAGAAATACTCAAACAAGTACTAGTAAATGTACTTAGTTACCCTCCACCACAGTAGATGTCATCATCCAGCATATGTGCATTTTTGATGGTCTTCCTCTAACAAACGTAATGAATGTCGAAAAGGTCTGTGCTTCCGAGTGATGGTGATCCAGGACCGGGATACGAGCATGGCCGTCCTGGATCAGCACTAGATGAGCACAAGCTAACCCAGAGTTAGTTCAGAATATCTGCTCAGCACAACTTGAACCAGCAGATGTGTTAAATGCAGCTTTGCAGTCGCGGCTTGTGTTTGTAGAATCACAGCAAACTCCAGTCCCATGCTTTTAAAAAAATTTTTTTTTTAGAGCTAGCAACCATCAAGCCTTTGTTTGCTAACTTACCAGTGTGTGAAATGTTGCTAACTGCTGATGAAGCTAACATGACGCTAACAGCATGTCAAGATGATCTGTGAAAGTGAAATGCCACTAATCTTTATTTTGTTGTTGTGCTGTGTTGTGTCGTCATCTCTTGGTGTCCCTCCTTTTCATGTGTTCCTCTTCTGATATATGTGTGTTTTCTGTTTTTTCCTTTTTTATTTTTCCGCTCGCTGATCTGCTGCATGTCTTATGATGTTAAAATCACGAACTCATCAATTATGATCTGCCTGCATGTGTCGACGCCTGCCTCCCATTGATCTCCCTGTTTTGATTTTTCCGGACCTTTCTCCTGGTGGTATTGGGGTTTTCGGGGGGGTGTTTTTCGTGGAATGAACTTTGCCTTGCTGCACTCAATTCACCATGGTGCCCCCTCTTCCTGCACTACACACGCCACGCCCTCTTCCTGCGTCTCTGACCACTCCCACCTCCTGGTTGTAGCCCCACCCTCGCTGCCCTGCTCGCCCCCTCTTTCCTGTCTCGACCCCTCCCTCCTCTCACAGGCCTCGCCCCTCCGTAGAGATACACCTCGTAGCCACGAAGATGGAGGCATGCACAGCCGCGGTAGGTCCCGCCTCTTCAAACTTCCCAGTTTCCGAGGCTGCAGAGTCAGATTACACCCACACACCTGGACTCAGGTGTCTCCACACAGTCTCTCTTTCAAACTTCTGCACCAAGGGTTGGCTTTATCTTCAAAGCTAGAAAGTTTGTCTCTGTTTTCTTTGATAACCAGCTCCAGCAGCCAGGAATAATTTGACTTTTTGGGAAATATGCATACTGGCTTTCCTGTTGAGAATTTGATGAGAAGATTGACACCACTCTGTCTGTCCCGTGAATATGACAGAACAGCTAGGAGACAGTTTGCTTAGCTTAGCATAAAGGCTGGAAACAGCTAGCCTGGCTCTGTCCAAAGATAACAAATACATTTTCAAATGCCTGTAAAGCTCATTAGTCTGTATTAATATAATAATCACATGTCATATGTATGTTGAGAGGGTTGTGGGGGGCTGCTCTCCAAACTGTCTGTGAAGGACTAGTTGGACAAATCCAAAGGTTATCTTCGTTCTGGCAGAAGCTCTCCAGGTTTAGGACACACTGTCCTTGGAAACAAACAAAAAAAGGGACTTTTGTCCTAAAACAGACTATTTAGAAAATACCTATAGAAGTGGTTGGTGTTTTTTTTTTTTCAACACGAGTTAAAGCTGACACATAGTATGTAGTGTAGCATATGTATATGTGGGCCAATAAAGAAATGTCAGACATAAGTTTGAAGTGATTCAGTGTGCATTGCACAGTTTATCCACCAGAGAGCACAGTAAACATATCAAACATGTTTGTTATAAAGCTCCTGTATGGTAATATTCACATAGAGACTTAGAAAGTACCTGGTAGCTTACAGTGTCTTTACAGTGATTGGTTGGTCCATGGTGACTCTGCAGCACCTCCTTTACTGCCACTGTGTGTTTTCCTTGCCTTAGTTCAGGGTGGTTTTAGATTACTGCTGCGTGTGTGTTTGTGTGTGGGTGTGTGCATTACTGTAGCAGTGTGGTCACACACATTGAAGCTCACCAAAATGTGTGTGCATAAAGGTTCTGGAAAGGCTTAAATGCAGTGGGTGTGTGTGCAGTATGAGTCATGTAAGGTCTGAAATGATCTAAATTCAACAGTGTTCAAAAGCTAATTTATATACAGGGACAAAAGGTTGCAGCAACAAATTTAAACTTTTCTGTGGCCTCAGCATAATGGAAGTTAACAGTTTTCTCAACTTTTTCATTGTTAGAGTGAAGGACTTAGCTGCCCAGCATACATTAATGATACAGTCTTGATGCAAGTTGTTTTACTGAGAATTAGAATCTGACAGAACAAGTTTGAGTTTGTGCCGTATATGAAAAAGTCTTGACGGTAACACACACCAGCATTTGTTGACTCATGTGCTGTCCTTTTTCCCACGATCACCGCATGTCGAGGTTCCAGAAAAGCTGCAGTTTGATCACATGAACCCTGGCTGCTTCCTCTGTCTGTACGGTGCGTACCGTATGAGCTACGGACGTCAAACTAACGTACAACCTGAAACAGCAGAGGCCATGTTAGGACTGTCGGATCTGTCTCCAAGTTGTGTGTGTGTGTTTGCATGCAGCGTCTGCAGCATGAATGAGTTGAGGTTTTTGTCTGTGCACATTTGTGTTTCTGTGTATTTTTAGCTCCTATATTTTAAGTGTTAGATAATGGTCCCTAAAGGAGTATCCCACTTCCTCTGCAGTGGAGTCCAAGATTTTAGATGGATCACAGCCGTGTGTGTGTGTGTGTGTCCTCCCGGAGGCGAGCAGTGTTTCATTCGGTTGGTCCATAAAAGGCTCTGAACAGCGACTGTGAGCTTGTTAAGCTGTTCACACACACTCTCAGTAATGACGTCTGAATGTTAACAAATCCCTCACAGCCCTCCAGAGACTCTTACAAACCACAAACATGTAAAATCTTGGTTTCATTTTCTTATTAGTTTAACCTCATTGCTAACGTCTGAGTCAAACACTACAATGTATGCTAATGTGTTAGCATGGAGCTTACAGTAACTTGACGTACCAGTAGTGCATCATAATGACTTTCCACACTTTCCTCATTATAGTGTTTTATCTGTTAGTATGAAGCATTAGTGTTTAGCGTAGCTTGTGCCCTATGTGCTTTGACACAAAGACCAGAAAGCAACACAGCGAACTTTATCTACATGTCCATGTGAAACAGGTGGTGCTGGTAGCTTGGTGATGTAGTGTCTAACCAGTAACATGCTAGCTAGTAGGGAACATGCTAACATACCGTAAAATAGATTGTGCATACAAATATTAATGTTTAAAATCGTTCAGTTCCTTTAACCGAAACTACGAGCTCCAAAGTCTAATTCATATAGATTTACATGTGTAATTGGCATGGTCCAAGAGAAAAAAGTGCTGACTCCCGTTACCTTTGAAGCGCTCGTTAAAGTGCAATTTAAGGGTAGGGTAGGGCGTAGGGTAGGGAAGGGGGCTACGCAGAGGCCCGATCTTGGTAATTGCGGACTAGCTCCAGGAGTTTTAAGTGTGATTTATACTTCAGCGTCGAGTTGACGGCGTAGCCTCTGTGTAGCCCTGTACCCTACGGCGACACCTATGCCGTAGCCTGATGTGCACCTCCTCAAAAAACGTAACTACACGTCGAGGTGACGCGGACCGTAAGCACTGTGATTGGTCGGCTGGGTAGCGTCGCAATGCCTCCGAGCCGACAGGAAGTGCTCGATGCTTTGAAGTAACTTTTATTAGCGGCCAAAACAGCAGCTGTAACACGGTGAATCAATATATTTGACCGTCACAACCCGAGCGAAATGACTCGTTAGCCTGCTCGGCCGGAAAAAGTCAACACAGTGGACGCTGTAGCGCTACTGCCGACTAGTGTTTGGGGGTGTAATTGCAGAATGACGGACACACCTACGCACAAGTATGAATGCATGGCTACATGTGTAGCCTACGGCGTAGCTACGCATGTAGACCCTACACAGGAGTATAAATCAAACTTTAGTCCGGATGTGTCCGGTCCTTGATTATTTATAATCCTTTAGTCTGTAAGGGTCCACCTATCTAAAGAATCAAAACAGCTTTTCATAAAAATTTATTTGTGATTCCTGTCATGTGAAGTGCATGGCTCTCTGTCTACTAACGTCTGCCACACTTCTCTCATCCTGCATCGTGTTGTTGGGTATGTTTGTTTTCGCTACATTGCTGCCTACAATGTGCTAGATAAAATGAATTAGTGTATTAGTGTAATGTTTATACTGTTAGAAATAAATAAACTGTTATACTGTCATCGTAGCTTCAGTTTTGTGCAAAAGGAATTAAAGGCCTGTCCCATATGGACACCTGTCCCAAATATAGGCAGGGTCAGTTTTACAGTATGTTAGAATCAGAATCTGAAGCAGCTTTATTGCCAAGTAGTGTTTTACTCATACGAGGAATTTGCTGTGGTGAAAAGGTGCTACACGTAGACAAACATACAGTCAACATAAATAAATGTAGAAATATATAATATGGAATGGAAGAATAACATTGCAGATATATACATGCATTATTCTGGGTTTGTGCCGTGCAGAAGTAACGCAACGGAAGATATTATTGTGTACATATAAATATATAAACTGACAACATAAAAATATACAACAACTAATATGTGCGACGTGTCACACAAGATGAAACAGTGGCAGTAGCTCATCAAGCTACTTGGGTTCCTAGCTCGTTTGCTACCCTGACAAAGTGTGAGCAGCAAGAGACGTATTTCTTCTATCGACTAGCTCTCTGTAAATCATTTCTCTGTTGTGCAGCAGTTCACACTCAGACAGCTATTTTGGACTCTGCAGGTCTCTGTTCACTCACAGGTGAGCACAGTCTAGACAGCTTGCTATTTGTCAATGGCACAAACTCACGTGTCAAAGTTCACCAAAGTTGAACTCCGCCCAAAAGATTTGTGTGGATAAACTTTGCTCCCTGTGAGCGAATGCACTGATCGCAGTGATTCCACTGATATAAACTGATTTTGCTCTAAATTGTTGCTGTTGGTGTGACATTAAAGTGAATGCTAAAATGTTAGCATGTTGCCCAGTGCTCAAGTGTTCCTGAGTTTACTGTAATCCATAATAGTAACTGTTTACACTAAAGTGCGAGCCTGGAATCTGCCTGTCAGTGTGACTACTTTGTGGATCAAAGACGTCCTTAAAGCATAAATCGGGTGAATTGTGACCCCGGGAGGAAACCATGAAAATCAGGAGGTAGAGTGCAGTGAGTAGGTTGGTAGGTCAGCCAATCATTTTAATCAGACTGAAAGAAATGATTGGCCCTGCTTGTTAGAGATCTGCGACAGCCACAGATACCGGATTATTTTCATTTTCATGTGATGGCATTTGAGAGCTTTATAAATAAAACACAAACTGCTTCTGAAATAAATTGCCCTGGTTTTAAATGGTAAATGGAGACATCTTTGGGTAACAACATGGCCTCCCCTCTGACACCACCCTCAGGATAAATGCTTTTTTCTCCACATATACAGAATAGTACAGTTGTCTTTCAAATGTTTATCGCTCAATACACACACCTCAGTGCAGAACAGTAATGAGTCTAGTTTCATAAATCAGTAAAGATCAGTCTTGTTTTTTGAGATTTCTGTTTCCCCTTTCAGTGTTTTACAGAAACACGCTCCCGCTGAAGTGTTTTGTGTTTCTACATGAGCAGTTATGTATGTTAAGTGTGATCACATTATGACTAATGGTCTATAATGGGCTTAGGCCTCAGGGAGGGTGACATCACCATGAGCTGACACGCTCACATCATCACTGCCACTGACCTCATTAATAACCAATCATCACCCCGTGTGCTGCAGCAACAATAGTGTATCAGTTTATTTAGTATTGGTTGTCCAGCTCTCATATATGATGTGTTTTAACCCGTCTGGCTGGTGGAATGAGGTGCTGAACAAGATGGCGATTTCAAACCTTTAAAAAGCATAAAACCCTGAAACTTTCTGCATGGCTCCAAACCAGTAGGCATGAG